TATCTCTCTCTCTCTCTCTCTTACTTTTTTACTTCATGCAAGCTTATAATTACAATATTCACATTATTTTTTTAAAAGAAGAATTCTGATAATAGTCCAGTAGGGTTTGTCAGTTGTGATTGAGAGATGAGATATTCCTCAGCAGTAGAGCTACAGTTCATTCTGTGCCTGTAGTATATAAGTATATCATTATAAAATATACAAATAAATTAACTACTAACTAACCATTGGAAATGTTCAATACAGCACAGAGCATTAGTTATTGACTTGAGACCTTTTGATGACCTAAACCACAACATGATCTGGATGAATTACTATAGCTGACTGTTGCAAAAACTATTTTTTATATTCTAATGGCAAAAAGGTCACATCACAAGCTATTATCGTACTTGCCCCAAATACACCCTACAAAAACTTTTTATTGAGTGCACCTCCTGGTCAAGATAATAAATAATTTCAAAATTGTTCCTATCTAAACAACAGGCTGTATTACAGGTGCTGCAGGTACATGTCCCACATGTACTCTATTATCTATGGCTATTTACATGTACATAAAACCAATCATATGCATTAAGGATTGCTACTCCTCATGGCTATGCATCAGAACCGCTTCATGTTTAGTGCATGAACAGACATGACCTGGATCTTATGCATAGAGGAGGAGCAGCCACCCTGCTTGTGAGTTGTGCCTAGGACCAAGCAGGGTGTTCCATATTTTATTTTGATAGGTGTGAAGAAGAATCATATAGTCAATGGTTTTATACTAAAAATTAGATTATCTAACAATGAAATCTATTTTTCAGACACCCCGCAATTGCTTGGCTATGTAATTCCTACACTCTATAAAACCAATCATGGTACTCTACCCATTGCAGTTGTTCAAACAACCACATTGAACTGAAGTGAGTCATTGAGTGGCGATGAATGCATCAATGATACACTGACAGGTCTATGTGCCCTCATGGTGGTCTGGCTAGCCCAGCCCTATGGTGATCTTGCTTGAACAACAGCCGCCTTGCTCGTTCTTAGGATCGAGCAAGGTGTTTTTGTTTTTTTTTCTCATTTGGTACTAGTATAAAAAAATACTACAAATGCTTTGGATTGGTAAGTTTGATTCATTAATACTGTCATCATGTCACATGAGAAGAGATATCATTTTTCGCATGATTGTTTTATCAAGAGCACTGTGTAAACTGTCGCTGTTATGCATGCGCCCCACAATTGCTTGACTATGTAATTCCTACACTCTATAAAACCAATCATATACTTTACCAATTGCAGTTGTTCAGGCAGCCGCACAGACCTGGAGCACTCCATCAGTGCACAGATGGTGTAGCACAGGTCTGTGTGTCTCCTGTGGGGTCTGGCTGTGGTGGCCTGTGACCCCATAGGTAATGCTGCCTGAACAACAGCCGCCTTGCTCGTGCCTAGGATCGAGCAAGGCGTAATTTTTTTAATATTTAATTGAATATCTTTTTGTTACCAGAGAAATTCTTAATTCTCTAAAAATTATATTACACATACTGTGTAAATTACAAATCATAGCTGTAGTAACAATTATAGTAGTACAATTGCCAGTTAATGAATTTGCTTTTAGACAATTAGACAGTATTAATTTGATTCATTATATTTCTTGTGTGCCCCACAAGTGTATGAACATGTTGTATGACGTAAGTATAAATAAGCCTGTCCCCTCTTATGAAGTACAATATACCGCTAGCTGTTTCCATCACTAGCTGTTATTGTACCAAATTTGACTTATTATTAAGCGAAACTTACTACTCACATTAACACCATGAGGGTAGTAAGCTAGCGATTCTTTTTCTATT